AGGCTTTACCACACTGGTTACATTCGTAGGGTTTCTCTCCAGTATGTGTTCTTTCATGTCTTAGGAGATGACCATGATATTCAAAGGATCTACCACAGTGATTACATTCATAGGGTTTCTCTCTGGTATGTGTTTTTTATGTATTGGGAGACTACTGTGCCGTGAAAGGGCTTTACCACACTCTTTACCATCATAGAGTTTCTCTCCAGTATGTATTTTTTTATGGCTTAGGAGATGAGAGTTCTGGGCAAAGGCTTTACCACACTGGTTACATTCATAGGGTTTCTCTCCAGTATGTGTTCGTTTATGTCTGAGGAGATTACCATGACATGAAAAGGCTTTGCCACATTGATTACATTCATAGGGTTTCTCTCCTGTATGTTTTCTTTTATGTATTCGGAGACTGCTGGGACATGCAAAAGCTTTACCACATTGATTACATTCATAGGGTTTCTCTCCTGTATGTTTTCTTTTATGTATTCGGAGACTGCTGGCAAATGCAAAAGCTTTACCACATTGATTACATTCATAGGGTTTCTCTCCGGTATGTGTTCTTTTATGTATTTGGAGACTGCTGTGACATGTAAAAGCTTTAGTACATTGGTTGCATTCATAGGGTTTCTCTCCAGTATGTGTTCTTCTATGTCTTAGGAGATGACCATTACACGCAAAGGCTTTGTCGCACTGGTTACATTCATAGAATTTCTCTCTAGCACTTGTTCTTTTATGTTTTCTGTGATGACTGTATTGAGAAGAGAACTTATCACTGTGATTACATTTGTAGGGTTTCTCTCCAGTACATGTTCTCTTTTGAACTCGGAGACTACTGTGACATGCAAAGTCTTTATCACATTGGCTATACTCATAGAATTTCTCTCCAGTATATGTTCTTGTCTGTATTTGGAGACTACTGTGATGTGCAAAGGCTTCTCCATATTGAATACCTTCATATGGTTTCTCTCCATGATGACTTCTTTCATGCCTGCAGAAATAATTGGTACATGTGAGAGCTTTACGACAGTCATTGCACTGATGAATCCTTTTATATGTATGAATTAATTTTATAATTTGGTCTAATGCTACAGAGGTATCAGATCCTAATGTTTAATCACTTTCTTTACTTCCATGGATGTTCCCTTTTATTATTGGTTCTTTTATGTCCTTGAAGATACCAGAGAACCTATTTCATGGCTCATATTTATACCATCCCATCCTTTCTTTCTACATCAGGGTTTTCACATATTTTAGGAAAACTGAAAGAACCCAGAGCTTTTCATCCTGATTGTATTCATAAATTTTCCTATGGTAAGAGTCAAACTACATTTGTAAAGTGAATAAGGGCAAACAGAAGAATTTCCATATTCCTAGTACACATAGGGATTTTCTGTAGTATAACTCTTTGAAGGTTCCCAATAGGGTTGGAAAACCAATTACTCAAAGTGGGAATTACAACATATTTTAAAATTGTTCTGGGACAGTGAGAGGTATGTGACTTCTTTGAATATCTCTTGGCTCACATGGCTTGTATCTATTGTGACATAGGTTATACCTATGAAAAGAAAAATACCAAATGAAAGGGCTCCATATTGCATTCACACAGTCTGGATTTTTGTACCTCAGACACATATGATATGGGGATTGAGGTTCTCTACAACAACATTCTTGACTCTCATAAACTGTCCTCCTCAATAAATATAGCAACATTCGTACAAGTACATGAGTTAAACCAGCTCTACTGTGGACTATTCCATTATTAGACGGTTATACTTAGCACCTATTCTATAACCTATTACAATATGTAAGTGGTATGACAAAAACAGGTTGGCAGGTCTACAACCTAGCTCTAATGGAACTGCGATTCAAATGATGATATCAATTAAGGCATTGTTTCCTTGTGTTCTTTCTTAGAGGAATGCCTTGCAAACACAAATCAGATACCAGATATTGAAGTATATGGTTATGTGGGAATTTAGTAATCACTGACACTTAGAGCAGTGCTTTATACTCTTGTTTATCTTTCAAACTTCCAGGGCACAGTAAAATTTCTTCAGAGGCATAGCCATATCACTTTGCACATGAAAATTACCTTCCATGTCTTCTAGAATGTTGACAATGCTCTTCAGTAGTTTGCTCTTCCCAATTATAGCCTAAAACATAATAGCACGTTTACACATTGGAATACTATGCAGCAATTAAGAACAAAGAAATCATGAAATTTTCAGGAATATTGTGGGAACCACAAAAAATTATGTTGTGTGAGGTATCCCAGAAGCAGAAAGACATACATGGTATATACTCACTTATAAGTGGATATTAGACATATAATATAGGAAAAACATGCTAAAATCTGTACACATAAAGGAGCTAAGCAAAAAGGAGGACCCTGGGTAAGACGGTCAATCGTCATTCAGAAAGGAAATGGGATAGACATGGGAAGAAGGAGAAAACACAAAGGAGGACAGAAGCCTACCACTGAGGGCCTCTGAAAGACTCTACCCATCACCAAACTGAAGCAAATGCTGAGACACATACTCAAAGTGTGGGCAGATTACAGGGAATCTTAGAAAGAAGGTGGAGATTGAAAGACCTGAGAGCACAGGAGCTCCACAAGGAGATCAACAAAAACAAAAAATCTGGGTCTTTTTTAAGACTGATATTCCAACCAAGGACCATTCATGGAGATAACCTGGAACCCCTGCACAGATGTAGCACATGACAGCTCAGTCTCCAAGTGGGTTTCCTAGGAGGAGGAACAGAGTTCATCTCTGATTTGAAATCAGTGGCTGACTCTTTGATCACCTCCCCCTGAGGTGGAGACAGCCTTATCAGGCCACAGAGGAAGACAATGCAGCTAGTTCTGATGAGACTTGATAGGCTAGAGTCACATGGAAGGGGAGGCAGTCTTCCCCTATCAGTGAACTGGGAGAGGGGCATGGGTAGAGAAGAGAGATGGAGGATGAGTTTGGGAGGGGATCAGGGAGAGACCTACACCAGGGACACAAAGATAATAAATTTTAATGAATTTAAAGAATTAAAAATAAATTAAAAAAATTTACACAGAAAAGACACATAGTAGAGGAAATATATGATAAATCCTTAAAAATTATGAAAATTTAAGTTGCTATCTTCAAGGAACCTTACAATCATGCTTGATTTATGCACATACTTCTTCCTCATTCTCAATAAATATTACAGAAAAGCATCAATAACAGAGAAACAGTTGTGCCCTTATTGTAAAGACTGAAAGATAATTCATTGTCTTACCAATAGCAGTGAGGTTCTTGTAGGTCTCCAGCATCACATCTTCATAGAGACTCTTCTGGGAAGAATCCAGCAAGGCCCACTCTTCCCGAGTAAAGATGATATTCACATCATCATAGGTCACTGAATCCTGAAATATCCCATGTATGTGAAAGCTTGATACCGACAACACTCTAAATGTATACATATAATTCTGCTGCTTCCTCTATGTATTTCCTCACAAAGAAGTTCTAACATACCACCAAGCCATTTTAGAAAGAAATTGAATAATGAGGTTCACCTCTATCATTTCTGCCCACTTTGAATAGGATATAGTTTTGCAAGAGAAATGCAATATTTGTATGAGCATATATACGTATGTATGTATGTTATGTATGTATGTATGCATGTATATAATGAGACAAAGAGAGAGAAACAGAGATAAACAAATAGATCAACAGTACTGAACACACATCAGCCAAATTCCTAACTACAAAAATGATGGGAAAGATGGGTATATTTGCTCTTGCATTTAATCCCAGAACTCAGGATGCATAGACTGGTGTATCTATTTGATGTAGATGTCAGCCTGGTCCATGAAAAAGTTTCCAAACAATAAGAGGTCCATATTAAGACCCTGACTTCCCTGCAAAATCAATGAAACAAAAAAGATAGAACTCACAGATCTTTACTGAAGTTTCTACAAAGAATTACACATTTACTGAATTTCTGTATTCATCTTCCAGAAACCTGAAGTGCCCCAGTTTAAACTGTAACATTAACATGATCTTCCTCAAAGGGAATGCATATTTAAACAGTTACAAATGAACAAAAAAAATATTAGCAAAATAAATTTTTGTCATAAATAACCTAGGGCATGAGACAGGGTTCACGCATTAAGAGCTCTTGCTGGTCTTACAAATAATGGGGCAAATTGCCAGTATTAATGTGGAGGCTCACAACTATCCATTATACTAAGTTCAGGAGTCCAGAGGACTTCTTCTGACTACTGTAGAGAACAGGTACACATGATGTACATACATATTCATGGTTACAGGCACACTATTCATATCCATGCTCAAATTCAAAACAAACACAATAGCTAGGAAGAACATCACCAACCTGCAATTCAATGACTCAGAGTGCTCAAGTGCTGTTAGGGTCATGAATACATCCTGAGAAATAGAATATACTCTCTGACATGAAAATTCAAGATGTGGATGATGAAGGTCAGAATTGCATGTAAAAAAAAAAAAAACCTACATTCTGAACACATCAGCTAATAGTACAAAAGTAAAACAAGCCAGGCATGTGGGCCCACATCTAATCCCAACATGCTGGAGCCAGATTCTGCTTAATCTCTAAAACTGGCCTGGCTTGTCTACAGACCTACTTCCAATATAGTGTCAACAACACAAAGAAACCTTGTCATGAAAATAAAAAGCAAAAAAAAAAAAAACCTAAAAGTATGAAAATATCAGACTAGCAAAGTAATTCAGCATTGAATAGCAATTGCTTCTACTGTAACTTAGGTGATTTAGGGATAGAGTCTGTAATGGTGAAGCCATGACAGCATAAACAGGAAGGTGAATGATCAGTTTCAATAGCAACAGAGTAGACGCAAAGATCAGGAAATGGGTAAAGTCTATAGACACTCAAATCCATCCCCAACAGAAATCTAGAAAGAATCCTACTACAAACTTTTCCATAAGCTCCCCCAAAGAAAGCCACAAAGTAGAGACAAGTGTTCAAAGATATCATCCTATCTGGGAGTGTTTGATTCAAATACATTCTGACATTGCTCTCTATAGGATCAGGGTCATCCCACACATTTAGTCTAACTTCAATGATCCTAATAGTCTGCAAAATCCTGTACACTGTGCAAATGTCCAAAGTCTCTTTTGACACTCTAGAGAACTTCTGGACTGCCATATCTTGTAAAATAAGAAAACAAGTGATATCCTTCCAACATACAATGGCACAGAATACACCTTCCCATTCCAATACAGAGGAATGTATACATAGTGAGGGAAGATTGGACCAAGGGAAGAAACCCAAAGGGCAAACATCAAAACCTGTAGCTCTGTCTCAGACACATGGTGCTTTAGTTTGAAAGGGTTGAGAGGGCCCTATCCCTGCAACATTTTCATGGGGGGGAAAATGTTGGTCATGCCTGATGCCAAAAAAGACACAGGAGGCTTAAAGGTGGCAAAGTAAATGCCAGACTAGTTAAGTCCTAAAAATTCAAAAATTATAATTCATATTTTAAAAGGTAAAACTGTCCATCCCATATAAAAAAAAGAGGAAGCCAAAGATAGTCAAAACTAATGTAAAAACCCAGGTACAAAATGCCTAGGTTATGCTTAAATATTAAAAGTAAAAGGGAGTTTACATAAAGTTTGGCTATAAAGGCATAACTGCTCATTCTATATAAAAAAGAGGATAAGACAAAAATAGCTACAGCATATATTAAAAACCTAGGCCTAGACCTCTAAACAAGTACAAGATGCCTAAGGTATGGTTAAACTCTAAGTTACAAAGGAGTTTATATAAAATTTACTTAAAACATGACTTTTCTATTGCTCAAGGCAACCAGCTTGTCTCACTAAGCTGGGAGAGAAGGGAGGCCTTTTCTTGGCAGATAGGTAGAAGCTTGGCCTAATACAACAGGAGCCCAAGAGCACAGAGAAGATATTTTGATCTATACAACCTTGTTTTGATTTCAACATTATAATGATTGTATGTTCAACAATAATGATACTTTATATTGCTGATTCCTTTACATGGAAACAACTTTGAAACTGTGACATAAAAAATGTCTCTAGCCAGAACTTCTACAATATATGGCCAAGAAATCCTTGGCTATAATATCCTCAAAATTTATTATGCCATTTTTTTAATTGGCATAGGTAAAATTGGCTTACAGTTTAGTTTCATCCTGTACATTTCATACATTTATAATTTTGGAACTGTATAATGCTTGTGAGACGTTATATGTTTGCAGAACAAAAGGACCAGACACTGAATCAAAACTGACAGAAAACCTCCTTCCAACATGCTAAGACATTGACATATCTTTTTCTAGCATCTTGCATGTTTGCATTTTGCTTGTTCCTGCCTCAACTGCTTCTCTTGCTCTTTCTCATCAAAGCCTGCTCTCAAGAGAGCTTTGAAGAAAGCTACTATTCTCAATTGATCCAACATTTTAGACTGTTCCAAACAGGACTTCTATTTAGCTTACAATTTTTTAGCATCCAAAGACTGGACCACAAATGTTAATGCTTGCTTAACTAACAATTTTCCCCAATTTCCTTTTGGCCACCTAACAGGATTTTTGCATGTCCAAAATGTCAGCTAGAAGAAATTCATGAAAACAACATCCAATTTCCTTTAAGTGGAGTTGGGTCAGTTTTGGATTGTTTTTTATGGCTATGAATGTTTATTTTCATTGGGAGATGTTTATAAATTATTAATGGTCTTATTCAAAGTTGACTCATAGTCATGTCAGACACTAGTCTAATTTATTACAGGAGTATACAGCCTAGGTTTAACAGATAGATTTAGGAGACAGGTGCGTTAGTAGACAGGTCGCTTACATAAAGATAGGTAGTCTTCAAAAACTTCAGAGACCTACAGAATATGGAATTTTATAATGTCTTGATTATTTTAAAGATTCTTTGCTGATGAGACAGGTCATCTCCTGGCAGCACCCTGCCTACCTCAAAGAAGATGATAGCATTGAAGAACCTCCATATGGAGATGGTTTCAAATGTGGCAAAGGAGCCACTCAGGTAAAGAACATACCCTCGCTTCACAACAGACAAAATCTGCCAAATATGGGCAAGCTTAAATGCAGGACAAGTCCACTGCTGAACTCTGCCAAGACAGGGTAAGCAAGTCCTAAATAGTTTCTGCTTGATAATATGTCTATCAAAATATACTGAGCCAGAAGGCTGAAGATGATGCTCCAACGTTTTAGAGAGCTATGGGTGACTATTCAGGCAGCAAACTCTCTCTGTCGATTTTTTTTATTTTTTTGGATGTTGCTAACATGCACTTCTTATTTTTACTTTAGTAACTTAAGATTATTTCTTCTCAAGTCTCTGGTGGGGTTGAAAACCAAATATTTATAGTTCCACAATTAAGCTTAAGTTGTTTAGAATTTAAGAAAATGCTTTCATGTAGGTAATACCAACAAGGATAAAACCTAATTTAGGTATAGAACTCTAAACTTGTCAAGACTGGATAGATAAACAAATACTTTCTCATAAGTTGCCAAATGCATGTAAACTGGACATTGCACATATAAATCTTACCTAATAGTTTTCATAACTGTTTTATTATGATTATTGTATTGAAAGAAAAGGAGTCTCCTATTGAAATCAAAGGGGGAAATGTTGGTATGAGGTTTTTTTGGAATGTATACAATTTATCATTATTCATTCAAATGCTGATTTCTCTACCTCCCCATCTGGTTTCAATCTGGATACTGCATTGTGATGCTTATTTTAAGCATCACCTGTCTCAAGTTTATGTAAACATGCCATCATTTGTTCTCTATATTATCAATTAAACAACCAGTCCCAATGCTCTGCAATGGAGAGGATAATGAAGGAAATCCTGGTCCAGAGAGGGGAGGATAAGAAGGGAAGTAGGAGAGGAGAGAGGTTGGCAAGAGAGGTCTTAGAACCACATGGAGAGATGGACCGACCTAAGATGACTAAAAGCAAGTATAATGGGTTAAATCTGAATGGTAGAAAACTATGTGGGCTTGGAGGTTTTGGATGGAATAACTATTGGCCAGCATTGTGCACTAAGTTAATTAAATAAATTCTAGTCTCTATGTGGTGATTTGGGTATACAGCTAGATTAGAATTAACTGCTGCTTAACTAAAAGATAAATCAATAGTAAATACAATAACTCACAACAGGTCCTAAATCAAACAGACCTAATAGATGTCTACATGAAGTTTTCACCCAAACTCAAGACTATACCTTCTTATCAGCATGTCATGGAACATTCTCAAAAATTGACCATATAGTCGGGCACAAAGCAAGCCTCAACAGATACAAGAAGATAAAAATAAGCCCTTGTATCCTATCAGACCACCACAGCCTAAAACTAAACCACAACAACAACAGAAATAACAA